ACGTTGGTGCCTATCTTTGTTTCGGCTTCTAATGGGAACTTGCGGGGAGGATTGAGTCCTTGGCTTGGCATGTGGCTTGACTGTCCTTTAACCCTTCAGGCCGGGACCAACATCCTGATAAGATTTTCTGAAACTTAAGGCCCCAAGCTAAATTAGTATTGCTTTGGTGCCTCAAGGACTGGGTCAGGGAGCAGGAGAGCACATCTGCAGCTCACCCAGGCAGCTCCTCTGTGCCTGGGGCCACAGCGGCTCCCCACACTTGCTGAAGTAGGAAGGGAGGGTCTGACAGCTGACCCACTGGTGGAGTGGCCTGTCTGAAGGCTGCCAGGCACTTTACAGTAGATTGTCCTAAGCACATTCTGAATTCTAAGATGGCTCCCTCTGATTTTGATATCTGGAGAGGCCCACCTAACTAGTGGGTCATGGCATACGGGACCCAGGAGATGGTGATCCTGGGATTCAGGTGAGAAAGTATCCTGGTGATTCTGGCAGTCATTCTTTGACATCCAAACGTAGCTGGAGAATATGGAAATCATAGGATTGTTTTCTAGAGCAAAAGATGGGCAAGTCCTGGGCAGAGGGTCAGGGCCCTCTTCCAGAAAGCTAGGGTTTCTAGGCAGAGGCAGGCCAATCCACAGGAAGCAGATGAGAGGGAAGGAGAAAGCTGCTATTTAGTCAAAGCTGATGCAGATCCTGCCTAACCAAAACAAGGTTCAGGTTGCTGGAAACCAGGCACAGATTCTATTGGGGTAAGTAAAACAAGATTGGCTTATTTGAAGGATACAGGAAGAAATCAGCATTACCTGAACACCTAGGTAAAGATCAGAGACATTTTCCAGCATGGATGGAGATTTCTGTTGCAGAATCCAGAATCCCCACCACGATGTTCAGATCTGTGGAAGATGGTCAAATTTTCCAGAATCTGTCCCCCTCCAGGCCTACTATACAGTCTAAGCTGGATAGGTGGCCAAGCTCACCTCATCCATTCGGGAGTTAGGCTATCCACAGTACTCTCAGATAGCTAAATCATCAGACTTTCAGACTAGAATTGCCTGATCCTGGCACATTCCTAATCTCAGATATGAGAATGAATACTAGGTGTCATGCTAACCAGCCATTAGAGCAGCTCGGGACTTATCCCGAGGATCTACTGAGCATCTGTCTATAGAGAGGTGCCACAAAAGTTAAATGAATGGACAGGAGTGGGCAAGCCGCAGGACACCGATTCTAGCCATTAAATTTCAAATCAAGAAAATCTTGGGGTCTAAATCTTGTTCAAATTTGTAAACTCCTAATTTGAAGGAAGGAGGAATTTTAACACAGCTTTATAGCTTAAAAACACTTTAATCATTTTAGCTCTGGCTCTTCTTTTTGTAACATTTTCTGATAAAACATATCTTTCACTCCACATGCACTTTGTTATACCCACAGTCTGCTGGGAGTAACTTGTGTCTTGTCCCCCAAAAGGTTGTCCAGAATCCTCCCACATGGACTTAGAAGCCATCTCAGCTTTGATTTTACCTCAAGGTGCCTTAACTTGCCCAGAGAAAGGCAAAAATCCCTAATTCTAGAATCTCTTGCATTTCTTACACTCATTTAGCAGGAAATGTATTACAACATGTGCTAAACGCCCACCCTGGGCATGATTTATCCCTCCCTTGACCTAGGTTCAACCAAGGTTTCTGACTTCCTGTGGTTGAGTACTCTAAAATCCCCTCATGTTTTACTATGAAGTATTTCATATATTTAAAACAGTATATAACATATATGCACGACTGGTATCCTGCCAGTCTTCATCAGTGTGGCTGCTCATCTGTGGCTAGTGGTCACCCTGCCTGGTCCTAGTTAATGCCAATAGCTATCCTGATTGGTCAGTGTCTGAGTAGCACTGGTGGCTAAGCATTTTTATTTTTGCATCAGCATATATGTAATATATGAAAAAGAATAATAAACACCCATGTACATACCAGCTTAAGAATCAGAGCATTAAAACAACTTTCAAAAGCATATTTAACAGGTAAAACATTGGTACTGTTAAAAATTCAGAAAGTATAAAAAGGCATCCAGTAAAAAGTCTCTCCCATCGCATCTCACTGCCTCACCTCCAGTGCAAATAGTTTCTTGTGTATCCCTTCTAAGATTTTATGTATAGATGAAAAATTGTGTATAGGTATTGTTTCTTTTTTTCACTGATGGTAGCATATAATAATAGTGTTCTGATCTTTTTCTTCTGAACCTAACAGCGTATCTCAGAGATCTTCCCACTTCAATGCATAAAGAACTTTATTCGTCTACTGTAAAGAGCTTAGTAGTACTTCATTATGGAGTTGTACTGTGATTTACTTAGTCTCCTATGGAGGACCTACAAGGTAATTTACAGGTACTGGCTAATATAATCAGTAAGTTTGTACATACTCACTTTATAAATATGCCAGTATACCTGTAAGGTAGATTGTTAGAAGTGGAATTGCTGGGTTAAAGGATATGTGCATAAATGTTGTAACAACATTTCAATGGTATGCAGATATATCTATAAAACAAATTCCTAGAAGTAGAATTGTGGGGCCAAAAAGCATGTGTATTTAGGTTGCAAATATGCCCTCCCTGGGTGCTGTATGAGCTACATGAAAGTAACATGGTATATTAATCAACTTTTGACTCTTTTCTAATTTGGGAGCTGAAAGTGCTATCTTCTGTAGTTTCATTTTATACTTCCTTCATTGTGAAAGAGGTGGAGTATTTTATATTTAAGAGCCACCCGTGTTTCCTTCTCTGAGAACTGTGTGTTCATGTTTTTTTCCTGTTTTCCCGTGGGATTAGTATTCTTGTTATTGATTTTCAGGAGCTCTTACCATGAGAGAAAGTAGCCCTACATGATATGAGATACAATTTTTTTCCATTTAGTCATTTGCCTCCTGACTGACTTTGAGTTTTGCCATGTGGAAAGGTTTCTATTTTTATGTGGACTATATTACATTTGCCAGCCTCAGTTACCCTGAGGACACCAGTTCTGTGCTGAATCACTGGGCAACTGGTCTTGGTAACAAGGGCAGTGGTTTATGTAAAGGCTACATAGAGCCGTAGCCGGTTTGGCTCAGTAGTTAGAGAGTCGGCCCGCAAACTGAAGGGTACTGGGTTCAGTTTCCGCAAAGGGCACGTACCTAGGTTGCAGGCTTGATCCTTGGTCCTTGGTTGGGGTGCATGTGGGAAGCAACCAATCGATGTGTCTCTCTCACGGCGATGTTCCTATCTATCTCTCTCTTCCACTCTCTCTGAAAAGCAATGGAAAAAATATCCTCAAGTGAGGATTTATAAATAAATAAATAAATAAATAAATAAATAAATAAATAAAAAATAAATAAAGGCTACATAGAGCAAGGGTTGGCAAATTTTCCTGTAAAGAGTAAGAGAGTAAATAATTCTGACTCTGTGTGCCATCTGGTTTCTGTTGCAGCAACTTGTCTCTGCAGTTGTAGTGTGAAAGCAACTGTGCGCAAAACATAAATGAATGAGTAAGGCTGTATTCCAATAAAAATTTATTGACAAAAGTAGGTGGCAGGATGAACTTAGCTCATGGGCCATTGTTTGCTGACCCCCAGCACAGACACAGTTAGGGACCTTCTTACTCTAGTCTGTGAATCTAACTGCCACTATATCCGCTCTTTCCCTCAGTCTACCCTCCTTGGCAGAAAGATTGCTTCACTCAGTTCTCTTGGCTGAGTCCCAACCTTCTTGCTTGCTGATGTCCCAGCTGCTCAGCAAAGACTTATTCAGGTTTCCACACCTGGAACCAAAAAGCCAGCTTCCCAGGCAGCCCACAGATTTTTATGCTTTACAGCTAACTTGGTAACCTTGGTTGCTGCCCTGTGCCAGCACCTCAGCCAATGAACCACTGAGCACATATACACACTTCAGTAATGGTGGGGGGACGATACTTTCTCAACACGTCCTTACAAGCTCCAGGACAATGGAAAATGCTGCAGAAAAATTTCCCTCTGTGGGACTTTCCTTCCAACACAGCCCACTCTAAGTTACCTCCACTGCCCCAGGCAAGGCTTGGCCTCAGAAACTAGTTCTTGCTCATCTCCTCTGCATGCATGAAAACCTAAAATGTACTGAATTAATGGGAAAAAGAGTATAAAAATCAAACAATGGTGGTGTCAGATGGGTACTAGACTTATCGGGGTGATCACTTCCTAAGTTTTCTAAATGTCTAATTACCATGCTGTACACCTGATACTAACATAATAAATAGTGTATGTCAACTGTAATTAAAAAAAAATTTTTAAAAAAATCACATAGTTGTTTCAAGTGGCTAAAGAAAAATCTTGCTTTTTAACTTTTTCTGCAGTAGATTGATTCTGTTATTGGACAGGACCTCATCTTAAACAAGAATAAACTAGCAATCTTGGTTTGGAGCAAATGTGGTAGAAAAATACATTGGCTGGTCCTCACCTTTTAAGAACTAAGGGCCCTTTTGGGGTTTCTTTATAGAACCCCAATCTACAAAATTGGTGCCAAGGAGGATACTGTTTAACTATTATCAAGGTCTTATGAACAGATTCTTTCCTGAGATCCACTGCATTTTACATTAGGTGCATGGTAAATAATGCCAATTTCACTCATTTTTTGCCTAGTGAAAAAAAAGTTAATTTTTCTTTTTTGCAAGTTTTGTTGTTACATAATGTAGAAAAAAAATCTAACATACTCCTACAACTGATTAAACTCATTAAATGTCTTTAACATTTATGTTGCATGCTTTTATATAGGAAAGAAATTTTTCCAAGGATGCAAAAATATCAACAGGCCATAAATAATTAACAAGTCAGTAATAAATATGTCTTCAAAATGGAAATCGCTAATATTTCAGTCCTTCATTTTCTTCTTAGGCCAATATCCTTAGATACTAATTTGTGAAACTCCTCATTTCCACAAAACAGAGCGACGGCCCCATTGCCAGGACTTTTAGCTGAAGTTTTGGATTCAGAGTTTAATTCCAGCTGTCACAAAAGTAGAGCCGTCTGGGGAAATTCACCTTGCCTCTGGTTTCTTCCAAAAAAGTGAGAAGAATTAGATAAGCCAGTTATACATGTAGAAATTAAATAAATTGAACTCACTTAGATTAGAAGATCAGACTTAAGTCTGGTATTGAAGAAGAGAGTTCATCCATTCATTCTTTGAACAGTATTTCTTGAGCACCTATTCTTGCCAGGTACTGTACTAGGCTCAGGGAATACAATGCTGGGAAAAACAGACATGACCACTACCCTCTATAGCTTACAGTGCAGATGGTGAGACATACATCCATTACATCACCTCGACATCTTAAATACAACTGTGAAAATGACTGTACAGGGAAAGAACACAGAACTATGGGGCCTGACTGACTGTAGGGGTGAGGGAAGACTTTCCTGAGGAAGGATGACAGAGGGCCAGCCAAGAGTGGGGTGAAGGGAGGGTGGGAAGGTCTGGTAAGTGGCATAAGGGGACCAAAGGCCCATGTGGCCAGGGGAAGAGTAGCTAGAGAGGAAGGCAGGTCCAGTTCTGGAAGATCTTTAAAGACTTAAGGATTTTAGTTTTTATCCTAAGAGCAGCAGAATGTCAGGAAAGAATGAAGCCACCAAATATGCATTTATAAAGATGATGCTGGCTGCCTGGAGGCTATTGCTGTTTGTTTAGGCAAGAGAACGCAGAGGTTTGGTGTGGGTGAGGCAGAAGAGAAAGAGAGAGATGGACACCTTTGAGAGAGGTTGAGGTTGGGGAGGATGGGAAGTGGAGGGTGAGGCAAAGGAGGTTTTCATTGGTAACTCCTCTATCTCTAGCTGTGCTGGATGGCTGGTACCTGAGGCAAGGCTTCTGGAAGACTTCCGAACAAGCTGAAATTTGTTCATCTCTCCCCTCTTATCTGTACTTTTGCAGGCACCACATGCTCTACTCCAACATCTATTGAACACGCAAGCATCCAGGTCAAGAGTTACAATGAGAACTCCAGGGAGCGGTATATTTGTAACTCTGGTTTCAAGCGTAAAGCCGGTACATCCAGCCTGACTAAGTGCCTGCATAACGAGGACACAAACATCACTCAGTGGACAATTCCCACTCTCAAGTGCATCAGTAAGTAGCCATCCCTTCCCCGTCCCTGCCCACCACCCTTGCCAAGGACACAAAGACAGCAGTGCTTCAATGTGGATCACTGAATGAGCCCATCTGCAGGGCCAAGAGATTTGTGTTGAGGTCTGAGGCTGAATAAACCAATGGACCTCTAAACAACACTCCTGGAGGTGGAAATACATGGGTTTGTGGGGAAGGTGTCACACAATTTTGGGTTCAAATCTTGCCTCTGCCACTTATCTAAACCTATGAGACCTTGGGCAAGGGCCTTCACATCTCGGAACTCTAGGTTTCTCATCTAGAAAATGGACCCAATGTCAACATTGTGGCTTGTAGGAAGATTCAGTGAAACCTGGTAAATATTAACTGTTATTACCATCAGTGCTTTTTATGGTAGCAAGAATTTGGCTACAGACAAGGGTGTGTGCTCAAGCATGCTTGCTTCCCAGAGAGCTTTTCCAATGTCTCCCTAGGAGAGAGCCTGCAGGGAAATTATTGCCATTCTCCAATGGTATCCACCCGAGGAGACTGGGAAGGGAAGGCACATGGGACATAGATTTCCTAACTCAGTCACCTAATTCTGGTGTCCAGCCAGCGCTCCAGAGCCAAGTGTGAGTGAAAGTTACCAGAATCTATTTTTTTTAAACCATCTACAACTGGATAACCATGCCAGAAAGAGCCAAATAATCTTGTGGTGGAAGCCAACTGTGCCATTTCCAGAAATACTAATCCCCTTACTCTAGAAAAATAAAGATTAACCCACTGTCTTCCAAGAGAATTCTGATTTAACATTTATTGCTTACTTGGTGCATGTCCAGCAGTGAGTGAGATACTTTCTCATATAACATTTGTGAAAATTCCCAACTTCTCTATGGGGGAAGCAGATGAGGGGAGGTTGTTCTATAGCAAACTCACTCTGTTGTAGGACTCCTTGGAGAGCTGGACTTTTTCAATGAATTTGTAGTGTTTAGATCACCTGGTGCCTGCTCCCCCTCCCCTCCCCC